AGCTCATTGACTTCCTCTTGAGTTGCCATTATCCTCTTATATTTCCTCTTTTGACGAATCGATTTATCAAAAAGTGAGACTTGAATAAAGAGGTTGTCCTTGATTAATCTCCCTTCTCTCCTCGACCAAGTACTATGGAAAAGGAATTTGGGGATATCTATTGTTAATTATTTGACTCAAACTTTATTCAACATGCAATGGACGGAGGAAGTGAAGAAAGATGGAATGGAATGTGAAGAATATTTAGATGTAGATGGAGGGATATGGAGAATTAGGAATAGAAGGTACCCCCCAATTCAAATGACGGAAAAGACCGACTCATGCGTGAACCTAAGACATGGTCATGGTGACATATACTCAAAGTGTGTGCTAAGACTAGTGAGTGTAGGTGACATGTTAAGACTCGTGTCATGACCATGTGGCTAGACTATGTGACTAGATTCAATTAATGACTCGACAAGGCATAATTGACAGCGAAAATTAACCGAATTAATTAGTAAAGTGGTTAATTAGACACTAGGTGATGACTCGACCAATAATCCGAACTGTCGGCCAAACGACAGGACTGGCGTCACATTGTGTAGCTTGGCGCCAGAAGGCAGAGCTGTCGCCAGGCGCCACACTCCACAGTGTGGCGCTACAGCTCAGACTTTGGCGCCAATATTGGAGCTTCAGTCTGGGACTGTTTTCGGTGTTATTAATCAAATGGGGTATGCCTAAAGTCGTACTAGGTCAATTCCGATTAAAATATTAGACTTTATTGACTCTAATTAATTAATTAGGCAAAGTTCTTTAAGTCATTAATTTATTAATCTCAACACAAGCCAAACAAACATTTAAGAGATCATAGATCATATGCATAACAAATAATGCACAATTAGTCAAGTAGGCATAATATGATGCAATGAGTTTGAACCTAACCATGGCTTTAGTTCTCTAAAGTTCGGGATATGGTTTAGTCAAAAGAGGGTCCACGGTTAATTGTCCGGATGCACCGCGCGGAAGCCTAACCGTGAAGGGTTGGCGCGAGTGGATGGGACACCGCGAGCTTTAGAAAAAAACTCGCTTCCATGGTTTGGTGAATTCAACATCTCGGATGTACCCTTTGTTGCACAAAGCGTTCAATCGGGTAGATGGAGCATGAGTTCCCAGAGGGTTATGTCCATATGTAGAACACATATGGGTTTCAGAAAAGTAAAAAAAAAATTTAATCAGGAAGTAGGATCGAGTAAACAATATGAAAAACCGGTCGAAATTAGAACGCATATTTCTGGCTCGGTATTGGGGGAAATTGGCGCCAGCAATCAGAGACTGGCGCCAATACTGACGTCTGGCGCTACGGTTAAAATGCTGCCGCCACTGCTCTAGCCCCTGACGCTACTTCCCACATGCCTCAACAGCTTTCTGTGCTCGATAAAATTTTCCAGTTTCGCGCGACGTTATTTCGGTCCTGGTTGTGAAATATATTTCTCAAATTTCCTACGTGTAAAATCCTATGTTTTTAACTCATTACGGATGGTATTTCCAATGAGATATTTTTTATGCATATGACAATAATGTTAATCAAAATTACGCACATGAAATACTTAGAACGTTTCGAGTCTCATCCACTCATTCTAAATCATTGCCGAATCAAATTCAGGAATTAAAATAGAAATCCTCCCCAGTGGAGTTGCCAAAAACTGTGGGGAATAAATTTCAAGCGTTAACCCCTAGGTTGAACCCCACTGTGATCATACACTAAAGTACGGTGGCGTCCAAAAGGGAAGAAGATAGAGCAAAAGAGTCGCCAACAAGTTTTAGGAACTTGTAAACCGTTCACAGGGTGAAGGTTACACCCCTTAACGATCCAAGAGATCGTCAACTCCATAAGGTCTAGAACCAAATAAAGGTTCGGGGATTATGGTACAAATCCAACCTAAAAGAGATTGAACCTGCCCTAATAATAGGCCTCTACTTTAATACAGATCGTATTCATGTGCGCTTTCTAATTAACATGCAATCAATAGGATTAACCCTAAACCTGTTTATCTATGTTGGTTGAATATTATGCACAAATAAACTATTATTGACGATCACTTGAATTATAATCAAATTAACCCTAACAAGATTATTAAATTATCTTATTAAGCGTGATTACAAGTATCAAAATTCCCTTTAAACATGCATAAAGGCGTGATCAAGCAATAACAATAAAATATCAACCAACATAAAAAATAATAATCATCAATCATAAAAATAAGTTATAATCATCATCAAAATAATAATAATAATCATAATCATCATAAATTATAACAATTATAATCATAATCATGTTCATGTTAATATTAAAGCATAATAATAGCAAGATCCTAGGCATGATACTTACAAGATTAATAACAAACCCTAGCATGTCACTAAGCAATAAAAATCAAATCTTTAACCCTAACATGATACTAACAATCATAAATATTAGGAAGAACATAGGAAGCATCGCAGGAATCATAATAAGGATATTTGATATTATAACCTTTTCCCTAAACATGATACTAGGAATATCATAATAACAATCTAAACATGATTTCTACATCATAATATCAATTAAAACCTTTAAAGTACTTACTTCGATGCTTCGTACCTCTTTCTAATAACAAAATATACACGTTAGTAACTTCAAGGAAAATAATAAACAAAACAATTAAATTAAATAATTGAAAGAGAGATTTGGGACCAAACCCTCATAAATTAAACCTTTCACATCTAGGGCGAAGGCAACTTCGAATATGGCTAGGTGTTTCTAGATCTAATGAATGCGGAATTTTGTATGCAAAAGATTAGTTTAGAAAAGAGAAAGAAAGATTTGATTAGAGAAGAGAATGAGAGAATTAATGAATGAAAACTGATTTTAGGTTAATGTTAATTGAAACTAACTGTTGACGAGAATTGGTGAAAATTCGTGTATGAAAACGGAGTTTTTAATACGTTATTTATAGAGAAATCAGCCAAAAAGATAAAATATCAAAACAGAGCACTTAGCGCACGTAAAACAGAGCTGGCGCACCTAAAATAGAGCTGGCGCCAGCACTAGCTAATTGGCGTCAGACGCCAATGGCTAGCACTAGGCGCCAATAGCTGGTGCCAGGCGCCAGGTCTGGTTCCAGGCGCCAATGCCTGGAGTCAGGCGCCAGGCCTGTTTTTGACGCATTTTCAAAAATCAGATAAGTTTGTCGTACTGGAGGATAAAATCGTATCTTTTCCTCGAAAATGCTTTTTGATTTTAATTAAAACTCTGAAAAATCAACAAAAGTCAATTTATCAATGCTAATTGAATTAGGAATGAAAAGAACCTTCTAGAAGAATCTAGAAGACTAAAACCATTCGTAATTGCATTAGGAATGTTAAATCATATTAGACCCTCCCCAAGATCATTGGGCCGTATATAAGGGCTCAAACCGAGCCCAGTTTAGTAAATTGGCCATAACTTCCTCAATATTCATCGGAATTGGGCTTATAATATATTGTTGGAAAGGTCTTGTCAAGCCCCATCCAACTACACTACTATTGGACCCATATCATGGTCCAACCAAATTGTATTGTCTGTTTTCTTAAAATAAGTTTTCAAAAATAAAGAGAAGAGGAAAAAATTAAAACTATCCGCAACACTAAACTTTCCACACTTTCACTTCATTCGATTATGATTCGACGCGAAAGGTACTTATCACTGGGTTTGGTTTTTGGGGAGACACAAATGGGTGTCTACAACTATAATTTTGTGCAACAATTTTGGAGTGAATAAGAAAAGTATATTTTTTTGTGCGTACTTATGAATTGTAGGAGACTTCAATTTATAGTGGACTAGTAACCAAATAAGGAAGCTATTCACGACAGACATTCATGCGAAAGTCAAGGAGTATCAATTAAATCCCTTTAATTGAGTAATCACAAGCAATCAAGCATTATGTACTTAGCCTCAAATATGCATGGTTACTCGGTTAGGCTTAAAATGGGTAATAGAAAATGTATGGGGAGATATTTACATTTAGGCCGTTATTGTATGTTAGGACGATGTATTACTCGAATCCGGTTCATCAGCAATTCTCGTTAATTTCGGCATTTATAGATAAAGTATACATATCGTCTTGTCGGCAGCTGACACGTGTCGTCCTCACATTTGACACGTGGCGAAAATTACTTTACATATTACACTGCCACCCGTCACTTAATCAAGCTATAAATAATCTGGTTTTACCTCATAAATAAGGTAGCATTTATTACACTCTCTCTCTCTCTTCTTTCTCTCTCTAAATTCTCTCTCCTCTTTTTATAAACACTTACTAACTTAGTCATCGGAGTGGTTATCCCCGGATTCACCCCGGGGCTAGCTGATCTCTTCTTTGTGTGTAGGTTCTCGCTTGGCCGATAGGAGCAGAACGGGTTATATACTCAGGCTTCGAATCTTGGAGTTAGGTCATCGGATTCCTGCAGAAACAATTGGCGCTAGAAGGAGGGGAAGCTACTTAATAGCTTCTATCGCCTAAAAGAGCCTCACATCTTCCGATTTCAAAAAAAAATAAAAAAATGAGGCATCCAGAAATTCAGATTGAAGACGAAACTCATACTCTGGAGGGTAACAAGTTTCATATGCCGCTAACCGCAGAAGGACAGGCTGAGACAGATACGAATCCTATGGCTGGGTTTACCTCAGAAGAGCTAGAAACGGCGGCAAGAGTGATGACCGCCATGAGTAGAAAAAGAAAGGAAGTCGGGGCAACCCAAGATGGAGGAGGGGTGCCGATTATAACTCATGGCAATCAGTTCAACCAGGCTGGAAGTTCACAAAGACGCCAACATGAAGGGTCACCGATAAGATCACAGCAGACTCCTAGAGAATCAAGGTTCAATCCTCAAGTCAAGATGAAAGTACATGGACTTATCATCAAGGAGTGGTGCGAAGAGTGGTTCAGTTGAGGGCATCACCATTTGCGCAGAGCATCCTTGATCAACCGATGGAAAAAATCAAAATGCCGACATGTCGGTATGATGGAAGGGGAGATCCTGGTAGATGTATGACCTCATATGAAGGGCACATGATTTTATATACCAATTCTGATGTCGTTTGGTGTAAAGTATTCCCAACCACTCTGGTTGGGGAAGCGGCAGATTGGTTCAATACTCTTGAAAATGGAGCGATCCATAGTTTTCAACAGTTAGCTGAAATGTTTGTGGGACAATATGTCAGTAACAGTGTTCGACAAAGAACTTCAAGGGAGTTGATGGTTGTTACTCAAAAAGCAGATGAGTCTCTAAGGGACTACATAAGAAGATTTAATAATGAAGCCAATACAATCCCAAGATTACAGCAGGAGATAGTGGTCATGGCGCTAATGAATGGCTTGAATGATTCGAAATTTAAAAGATACTTAACTAGAAAGAATCAGCCAACATTAGCTGCAGCATTTAACAAAGCTCATGACTATATAAAGAGCAAAGAATTGATGAAAACAAGCAGCCGGGTTGGTTCCACCGATAGGATTCACCCAATGTCGGAAGGGGGATCTTCAGGAGGTGGAAGGCCGAGAAATCCAACCTTAGCAAGGGGAGGAAGCCGTCAAGAGGTTAGAGGAACCAAAGCACCAATGCGATATAATTTTTATACACCGCTGAATGCACCGAGGGCTGCAATATATTCTGTAAATCAGAATCGGGAAGGATGGGTGAGACCCATGCCGATGAAAGCAAAAGGAAGGGATACCAAGAAATATTGTATGTTCCACCGAGATGTGGGGCATTATACTGAAGATTGTGTGCAGCTGAAAGATAATATTGAAGAATTAATAAGGAGGGGACACCTCACTCAATATCGGCTACATTCAGGGGAAAGTCAACAACAATAGTATCGGCAGCCAGAGCGACATCAGATAGAACTCAGGCCAGAAAGGCAAGGGCAAGTGAAGTGACAAGGGGATATCGTGCAACCACCATCGTCCACTGGAAAAAGAGTTGATGTAATAATCGGTGGAGCAGTTCACGGAGGAACGATAAGTGGAGCACGGAAACACCCATCAGAACATCGGCACATTGTTAATGCATTAGAAGTCAGTGATCGCCCGCAGCCATCCGAGATTCTAGATGTAATGTTCACCAAAGAAGATGAAAAGGGAATAGTTTTTCCTCATGATGATCCCCTAGTACTGATAGCAAAAATCAATGGGGCCGATGTGAAGAGAATTTTATTTGATGGAGGAAGTTCAGCAAATGTTTTGTTTATGCAGGCATTTAATGAGTTGATGACAGGCCGACAATACCTAACGCTGGTATCTTACCCAGTGATTGGGTTTAATGGTTTGACAGTGAGTGTACATCCCCAAATCTCCCTCTACGGAAATACTAGTATAATACGTATAATTATACCGTAGAGATAGACTTAGGCGTATTACCGCCGCGTGATTACGCAAGGCTACTCAACTTACTAAAAATAACAATACTTTGCAGCGGAAACTTCAATACTCTTCTTTATTAATGTTAACAATAATAGTAACCAATGTTATGAGTACTCAAAATAGATACAAGACCAAATTCCTAATTTAGTGAAAACCAATCCCTGGACTCCAATGCATCATTTATTGACTCCAACCTGAAAATAAGCAACACTGCTTACCATTACGGTAAAAAGGGCGAACCAAAACAAATAAGTAGTACGAGTTAGCAAAATATGCTAAGTACGATAAGTGCAAGATAATTAAACTCAATTTATTCGCAAACATGCTTTAAAACCAATTTCCAATAAATAATAAAATAATTCCAAAATCATGGTTTAAAACCAATTCTCAATAATTCCAATATCAATAATCAATAAACCAATTCCAATTATTTAAAAACCAATTCCTCATATTAAAACCAATTCATCTCCCAAGTGTGCACACCCCCCAAGCTAGTCTCCTTATATTACAAGGCTGGTCTTGAGGAAAGACCCGGTCATGCAAAGTCCAAGGCCTTATCAATAAACCAAATCCGCATAGTGGGATTACCAACATGCTTATAAAGCATAAATAATAATAATAAATCCATGATTCAATAAATCCTCTTTTAAATCCAATAATTCAACCTTTAATGAAAACAATCCAAACTCCTTTTCCATAAATCCAACTTGCTTTCAAAATCAATCCTTTTTAAACATGAATAATAAATTAATTAATCAAAACATGTTATAAAAATCAATACTCCAATTTAATTATTAAAACCAATCTTTTAAACATACTTTTATTTCATAAACCATAATTCAATTCAATTTAATTCAAACAACATAAATCATTCAAACATGTTTCATTCAAATCGACCACTTCCAAGGTATCTATCCACCTAACGTACCTTGATCTTCACCTAGCCAACAACACTTCAAAATAACTCTCAAGTAGCTTGATCAAAAACACCCTACAATTAAATATAACCTGGCCTTAATCAATATAAGGTTAACAATTAATCACAAATAATTAAATTAAACCCTCCCAACTAAATGTACATGAACCTCTTAAATTAATTCAACATGAACATTATTAAAATATGATTTTAAAACTACTCATAATAATTTTATATTAATCTCCCATAATAATAATATTTGAATAAAAGAAAAGGAGAAGAAAAGAATTGGATTTGCGTAGGAAATAAAGATAGAACTTTCAGAGGCTATAACTCCTTCAATATAGCTCCGAATTGGGTGATTATTGAGCCTAACCTCAAGGATTTGTTGAGAGGAACAACGTTCTGTGAAATGTCACTACCCCCAAAACTGACCAGAAGTGCCCGAAAATTGGATTCAAAGATGAACGGGATGATTTGTGTAAAATTGAGGAGAAGAAAAAGAAGAGAATTGGTGTGAAGAATGTGAGAGGTATGAAGGGGTATTATAGGCTAGTATGAGCATGAATTATGGTAGGAAAATTTAGGAAGAATTATGGTAATTAGGGTTTAAGAGATTACTTGGAGAAATGAGCAAAGATTTAAGGAAAGTTTTGATATTTGAAGGGATTGTGTATAATTGAATATGGAAGGTATGTATGTCATGAAAAATGTTAAGGAAATTGGAATTGCTTGGGGAATAATTAAAAAGAGTGAATGGCAAGAAAATATAATAATTGGATATCAAAAAGATGGAGAATTAGAATTATGGAAAATAGGAGATTTAAGGGAGATAATTAAAAATACAAATTACCAAAATATTTTCCCAAAATCTTTATGGGATGGCCGAAATTATTGAGCTTTCCTAAGCTCATATTTTCGGCCTTCCTATTTAATATTTAGGAATATATTTTGCTAGTTTAAAGAAATTAAAAATAATTGTGTAAATAATATTTATTGTAATAAATAATTGAATAATAAAATACCAAATATTCACCAAATAATTTAACTAATAAAAATCAGATTTTCACATAGGAAAATCCGAAATTATTGGCTAATTAATTGGGATTTTCGGACCTATTAAAATAATAATAAAATATAGCTTTTGCCTTAATTAAAATATCTGAAATAATCCGGTTTTTAAAATAGGATAAAAGGATAATAAATCTTATACAAAATAATGATTAGTTTTCAAAAAAAATTTGGCGCCAAAATTCAAATATCATTTTGGCTCCAAGATTTAAATAGTAAATTGAATTACTAAAATACCCTTTTTAGAAAATAATAATTAATTAGGAAAATACGTATGAAAATACGAGGTATTACAGTCTACCCCCCTTAAAATAAGTTTCGACCTGAAACTTAGCCAAAAGAAACGAAAATCATTTTGAAATTATTGGTTCATGCACATCCTAACTTGACTCAAGACTCCAACTAAACTTAAATAAGACTCGAAATCACTCAAAAATGACTCGAAAAGTAGACGCGCGAAACTCTATCGCCCTCTACCCCACTTAAAAGGAGTTACGCCCCGGTAACTCGACCACTAACCTTAGGTAAACAGTTCTGGGTAACGTTTCCTCATATCAGCCTCAGCTTCCCATATGGCCTCTTCAATTTTCTGATTTGACCACAATACTTTCACAATGCTCACATCCTTGTTCCTTGTGCTCCTGACCTTAGAGTCAAGAATCTTTACTGGTCTTTCCTCATAAGTCAAATTCTCATCCATCACAATGGTTTCTGGTTGTAACACATGTGTCACATCAGGAATATACTTTCGGATTTGGCTCACATGGAACACATTGTGAACCCTTTCAAGCACATTAGGCAAATCCAACTTATAAGCCACTTTTCCCACTTTCTGAATGATCTCATAAGGCCCTATGTACTTTGGGCTTAATTTTCCTTTCTTCCCGAACCTCATCACACCTTTCATGGGTGAAATCTTTAACAAAACCTTCTCACCTACTTCATATTCCTCTTCCCTCCTTTTCAAATCAGCATAACTTTTCTGTCGATCTTGGGCTGCTTTAATCTTTTCTTGGATCAACTTGACCTGCTTCACCATATCCTCAATCATATCTGGTCCAAGTACCATAGTTTCACTTATATCATTCCAACATACTGGGCTTCTACACTTTCGACCATACAAAGCTTCAAATGGTGTCATCCCAATGCTTGCATGGTAACTGTTGTTGTAAGAGAACTCTATCAAATCCAAGTGGTCTTCCCAAGACCCTTGATACTCCATCACACAAGCTCTTAACATGTCCTCCAATGTCTGAATCGTTCTTTCTGTCTGACCATCTGTTGCAAGATGAAATGATGTGCTCATTAACAACTTAGTTCCCATCGCCTTTTGCAAACTTTGCCAAAAGTTAGACAAAAACCTTGAATCTCTATCCGAAATAATATCCGTGAGTACCCCATGGTACTTCACCACAAACTTCACATAAGCTCTTCCCAACTGATCCATGGTCCAAGTACTTCTCATGGGTATGAACGCTGCTGACTTGGTTAACCTGTCCACTATCACCCAAATAGTGTCATTTCCTGCTTTGGTCTTTGGCAAAGCTCCCACAAAATCCATAGAAATCGAATCCCATTTCCACTTGGGCACCTCCAAGGATTGGACCTTTCCTGGAGGCCTACGATGCTCAATGTCCACCTTCTGACATGTCAAACACTTAGCAACAAATTCAGCCACTTCTTTCTTCATATTGGGCCACCAAAAAGTCTTCTTCATGTCCTTATACAACTTATCCCCTCCAGGATGCATTGAATAAAGAGAATTATGGGCTTCTTCCATCAATCTTTGCTTCAAATCACTACGATTCTGCGGCACACACCATCTTCCCTTAAAACGAATACTTCCCTCATCACCAATGGTGAAATCCAACACTTGCCCTTCATCAATCTTCTTCTTAATTGCTTTTAAATTCTCATCTTCCAATTGATTATCCCTTATCTCATCATAAATGGATGGTTGAACCACCAAGGCATTCAACATCCTAGCCACTTCACCATGTTCCATCACCTCCAAGTTCGACTTCTGAAATTCCACACACAAGTGATCTGGGACTACCATCATTCACCGTATGTTCTGACTTTCTGCTCAAAGCATCTGCCACCACATTAGCCTTTCCCTCATGATACTGAATATCCAATGTATAATCACTCATATACTCCAACCATTGTCTCTGTCTCCCATTCAAGTGCGTCTGGGAGAAAATGTACTTCAAATTCTTATGATCCGTGAAAATTCTACAAGTCACGCCATACAAGTAATGTCTCCAAATATTCAAGGCAAACACTATTGCAGCTAACTCCAAATCATGGGTTGGGTAATTCCCTTTGTGAACCTTCAACTACCTCGAGGCATACGCAATCACCCTTCGATTCTGCATCAACACACATCCCAATCCCAACCTCGATGCATCACTATACACGTCATATAGATCACTCCCATCCGGCAAAGCCAGCACAGGTGCTGTGGTTAACCTTTCTTTCAACATGAGAACTTATGCTCCTTTTTCATAAAACTTGTCATGGGCTTCGCGATCCTTGAAAAATCCTTCACAAACCTTCTGTAATAGCCTGCTAAACCCAAGAAACTCCTTACATCCGACACATTCTTTGGGGTTGGCCAATCACTCACAGCTCGAATCTTGCTTGGGTCCACCGAAACTCCGTCCTTGGAAATCACATGGCCCAAAAATGCTACTTTCTCCAACCAAAACTCACACTTAGAAAACTTGGCATACAACTGATGCTCTCTTAAATATGACAACACTTGTCTCAAATGCTCCTTATGCTCTTCTTCATTCTTTGAATATATCAAAATATCATCAATAAACACCACTACAGGCTTATCCAAGTATGGCCTGAAAATCCTATGCATCAAGTCCATGAACACTGCAGGTGCATTGGTCAAACCAAATGGCATAACTGTGAACTCATAATGACCATAACGGGTCCTAAAAGCACTCTTTGCAATATCTTGCTCCGCAATTCTCAACTGGTGATAACCCGATCTCAAATCTATTTTTGAGAATACCCCTGCTCCTTTCAACTGGTCAAACAAATCATCTATCCTTGGTAGTGGATACTTATTCTTCACCGTCACCTTGTTCAACTCTCGGTAATTAATTAATAACCTCATACTCCCATCCTTCTTCTTTACAAATAATAATGGGGCTCCCCAGGGTGATGAACTAGGCCTAATGTAACCTTTCTCCAACAAATCATCCAACTAGGTCTTCAACTCCCTCAACTTAGCTGGAGCCATCCTATATGGAGCCTTAGAAATAGGTTCAGTTCCAGGCATTAGATCGATAGTGAACTCAACATCCCTCACTGGTGGCATACCAGGAATCTCATCCAGAAACCCATCTGGAAACTCTTCTACAACAGGAATACCCTCTTCACCTTTATTTTCCTCACTTTCAACCTCTTGAACACTACACAAAAATAAAGGACAACCCTTCTTTATCAGCTTCTGTAGTTGCATTGCAGACACAATTCTCAACCCTGAACTTTTCCCTTCCTTTTTATACACCACTTTGGTCTTACTTGGGCTAGTCAAGGTGACCTTTTCAGCCGCACAATCAATTTTTGCTTCATACTTTCCCAACCAATCCATACCCAGAATCACATCAAAGTCATTCATGTTAAACTCGATCAAATCAGCCAGAAACTCTACCCTAGAGATGGAAATAGGCACACTCAAAAACAATCTCAAACAACTCCTCACTTCCCCAGACGGAATAGACACATCTAGAGAAACTGACTCAGGACTTTCTAACCCGAGACTCCTAACTACTTTCTTAGATATAAAGGAATGCGACGCCCCAGAATCAAACAAGACTTTCATAGGAAAAGAACTTATAAAGAAAATACAATTACCACATCATTAGCAGACTCAGCCTGCCGACTATTCATCACGAACACACGACCCTTTGGGGCACCTCCCGCACCGCTACTGGTTCCAGCCTTGGTTGTAGGTCCACTAGACTGAGGTGGTTTACTAGGTGCACTAGACTCTTTCACCTTCCCAGACTTAACATTATCTTCCTTCTTGAAACACTCATACTCACGGTGTCCCAACTTCTGACAGTAACGACAAGTTACCGGGTTTCCCTCACAGTCCTTCCCTGGGTGGTCTTTCCCACACCTCTTGCAGAAATACTTCCTCTTGGGTTTCTCACCCCTTTGGTTCCCATTCCCTTTATGGTTGGATGATTGTACCCCATTCCCCTTCCCAAATTTCCCCTTGTTGTCCCTCCTATCTCCAGAATTTCCCTTGGTAATTTCCATTAGGCTTGAGCCACTTTTCACCCCCCGTGAAAAGTGTATGGGTTCTTCCTTTTCTCTCCCACCTGCTCCATCTCCCTCCCCTTAATTCCGTATAGATGGGCTGAACGGCCATAGACTTCATCTAGGGTCTCAAAAGTCACTCCCCCTAGCTTCCCTTGGAGGGTCAAGGTTAGGCCTTGCTCAAATCTTTGAGCCTTAATGGTTTCAGTAGGGACTACTTCTGGGGTAAACCTCATCAACTCAATGAACTTGTTGTAGTATTCACTGATTGACATGTTTCCCATTCTTAGGTTGGTAAACTCCATACACTTCTTCTTTCTAAGGTAGGAAGGGTAAAACTTCTCTCTCAAGGCTTCCTTGAACTCATTCCACCCAAAGTTTGGTCTTTTCAGCAACTCATCCTTTCTTTAGGCCCACCATAAGTCAGCTTCCTCCCTTAAGTAGTAAACTATTTATTAGGTTTGGAGATGGAGCAACGGCAAGAGATGCAATGGCTGAGTTTCTGGTGGTGGATGTGTCGTCGGCATACAATGGAATTGTTTAAAGACCGATAATTCACGACATACTGGCAGTAGTATCAACTTACCATTTAACTATTGCTTATGTGTCGAATAAAGGGGTTGTAGAAAAGGTACATGGTGGGCAAGTGATGGAAAAATCATGTTATTTACAGCACTGAAAAATCCAGGGCAAAAAGGACTAGTGCCGAGCAACCCAAAACGAGTAAGAGAGCCAACGGTACGAGACTTATCTATGGAGAATTTTGATTCTAGGCCGGAAACTGCGCCAAGGCCGTCACCAGGAGGTGAGACAGTGCAGATAGAGCTCTGGCTAGGGAACCCAAACCAGACGGTGAAAGTTGGAGCTGATATGGATGTTGAAATGAGATGCAACTTGATCAGCTTGTTAAGGGAGTATGCATATGTGTTTGCATTCTCGGCAGATGATATGCATGGCATACATCCGGAGGTAATAGAGCATAGGCTTAATGTAGACCGAAGGGTTAGACCGGTAAGGCAGAAGAAGCGCAATTTCTCAACAGAAAAAATTGAAGCCATTCAAGCAGAAGTCAACAAGCTTTTAACGGCAGGATTTATAGAACCATGTACTTACCCAGAATGGTTAGCAAATGTCGTAATGGTCAAGAAGCCGACTGGAAAATGGCGGATGTGTAGATTTTACAAATTTAAATAAAGATTGTCCAAAAGATTGTTATCCACTGCCTCGAATAGATAGGTTGGTAGATTCAACTTCTGGCCATGAGATGTCAAGCTTCTTAGATGCATTCTTAGGATATCATCAAGTCAGCCTTCATGAATCAGATAGGCCTAAAACAGCGTTCATAACAGATGCTAGGTTATACTGCTATAGAGAAATGCTGTTTGGGTTAAAAAAATGCCAGAGCAACATATTAGAAGTTGGTTGACAAGATTTTTGCAAACCAAAAAGGCCGTAAGGTGGAAGTTTATGTAGATAATACAATAGTGAAAAGCAAGGCGAAAAAAGATCACATAGATGATTTGAAAGAAACTTTTGCAACTTTGCGGCAATATCAGATGAAGCTCAATCCGGAAAAATGTGTCTTTGGAGTTCGTTCTGGAAAGTTCTTGGGTTTCATGGTTAGTGAAACAAGGCATTGACGCAAATCCTGATAAGGTTAACGCCCTCCTTGAAATGAAGCAACCTAAAACTATTCGAGATATACAGAGGTTAACGGGAAGAATGGCAGCCTTAACGCACTTCATTAGCAAATCAGCAGATAAAGCACTCTCGTTTTTTGTGGTTCTGCGATAGAATAAATCATTTGAATGGGGAAAAGATCAAGCCGATGCCTTGGAGATGGTGAGGAATCATCTGAGATCTCTCCCAACAGTAGCACGACCAAAGAAGGGGGAGCGTTTACAATTATACATATCGGCATTGCCAAAAACAGTAGCCTCAGTCGTGCTAGTCGAAAGAGCCAAACAACAAATGCCGATATACTTTGTCAGTCATGTTCTTAATGCTACTGAGTGACGATATCCAGTGGTAGAAAAAATGGCATTTACTGTCGTTATTGCCGCTAGAAAATTACACCCTTATTTTGATGCGCATCCGATAGAAATCCTTACGAATCATCCATTAGAAAAATCACTGCAAAAAATGGATACATCGGGAAGGTTACTGAAGTGGGTTGTTCAGTTGTCGGAGTACGAATTGCATTATAAACCGAGAGTATCAATAAAAGCGCAAGCCTTGTTAGATTTCGTTGTGGAAACCTCTTACAATGATGAAGTGGAAGAGATGGGGACGTGGCAGGTATATGTAGATGGATCAACAACTTTAATAGGATCTGGAGCTGGAATTGTGATAACAGCTCCTGATGGGGAAACTTTTCAGTACGCTTTAAAATTCAAGTTTAAAGCGACAAATAATGAAGCTGAATATGAGGAAGAAATAGCAGGCATTCAACTTTCCATAGTGGCAGACGCTAGGAGATTAATTCTCAAAACTAACTCACAGTTGCTTTCTAGTCAGTTTAGTGGGCAGTATGAAGCAAGAGAATCGGCAATGATAAAATATATGGAAAAGATAAATGAGCTTACAGCTCTTGCAGTATTTTGAAGTCCAATTGGTGCCGAGAGAGCAAAACTCACAAGCTGATGCTCTAGCAAAGTTGGCCAGCTCAAGTTTTAACGACCTAGAGAGAACTGTTATGGTGGAAGTTCTGAAACATAGAAGTATAGATGAATCGGCAAAAGATATTCATTGTGTTCAACAAGGGAATCAATGGTATGACAAAATTCTAACATATCTGTTGACAGAAGCTTTGTCGATAGACAAGGAGGAATCTCGAAAAATCAGAAAAGACAACATCTGGTTCATAATATACCAGGGGAAACTTTATAAAAGAGGGTTCTCATTTCCATTACAAAGGTGCATAACGACCGAAGAATCTACAAGGTTAATAGAAGAAATTCATGAAGGAACTTGTGGAAACAACTTACGGGCACGAGCCACTAAGTTGGTTCCTTTCCATCAGCCACTGGGGGAAGAAAATTTTTACTGGTAGGCATCGCTTACTTCACCAAATGGATCGAAGCAGAGCCGGTAACCACAATATCAGCTGCAGAAGTAAGGAAATTTATTTGGAAGAATTTCTTCACAAGATTTGGCCTTTCGATGGCGATGGTCTTTGACCATGGATCGCAATTTGATTGCTAACCTGTAAAAGTTTTGCTGGCAATGTATAAGGTCAAATTCGCATATGCGGCAGTATGTCATCCGCAATCAAACGGCCAAGCAGAAGCAGCCAATAAGTAAATAGTAATGGCAGTAAAGAAAAAGATAAAAAATGCCAAAGGGTTATGGGCAGATTTGATTCCTGAGATCTTGTGGGCAAATAGAACAACAGTTAGAGAAGCAATAGGAGAATCCCCTTTCCATTTGGTTTTCGGAACAGAAGGCGTCATACCAGCTGAGGTCGGTTTGCCGACATTTGGGGTACAACATTACTGTGAAGAGAAAAATGATCTACTGTTAGATTTTTTGCCATAAGTTAGAGAAAAGGCAGCATTTAAGTCAGCAGCATACAAAAAACAGAATATCCAGAGCTTATAACAAAAGAGCCAATCATCTACCACTGGCCATCGGGGATTTGGTGTTACGGAGAACAACGACAATAGGAAAGGGAAATAAAGATGGTAAGTTAACAGCTAACTGGGAAGGCCCATATCGGATAAGAGATATGGTAATGCAAGGATCGTACTATCTGGAATCAGAAGATGGAAAACTACTACAGAATGTCTGGAATATGGCAGTTCTTAAGAAGTATTATGTGTAAGAAAAAAGGAGTTGTATAATGTAAAAACACTTTTTGTGTATCTTTGGTGATAAATAAAAGTAGACGCAGTATTATCCATCTTATAATAAGCGTATAAAGGCATCCTCCACTTGACAGACCACCGTTAAGTGGGATGGACAGCCAAAAACCACTTCCGTGACAACGATGCACTTACAACCTGATCAGTTGTATTCGTTATTTCACAAGGTTGTTTGTTCAATATAAATTCCCGGCTAAATCATTGTACGGTATGCGCCGACATGAGGCACAACTATAGCATGATCGTCGATAAGGGTACTTGCGAAACTATTATATAGTTGCACAAGTGACCAATGAGACACAACATAAAAGCATAAATGTATTGAAATTATACAGACATAATGTTGCAAAAGAAACGATGTTTTGGCAAAGCTAAACTGGATCGACAGGCATCACCACAAAAGGGTATATGCCGATAAAACAACATTGTCAAAAACGCATAGTTTTCCAAAAAATATAAAGATAACATAAACTAAAGTAGATAAGGCCCCACAACACAAGAGCCACAAGATGATGCTGGTGATGACTGCCCGCCCCTTTAAGCTAGTTTGTTCTCAGGCTCAGGAGAGTCTAAAATTTTGGGGTTAGAGATGCCGGCATCAACAGAAGAAGCGAGATTTAGAATATCTTCATCTGAGAACTTCTGTTGCTCAAATACAGAAGGTGTTTTATGAGCATCATTATTAAACGCCTCCTTAATTTTTGCCCAGTCGTCTTTCTTCAAGCCGATAGCGTGAGCGGCACATCTCTGAGCAGCAGTCTACCCACCGTCAAAGCGATCTTGCAGTTTGCTGCAAAATTCTTCCGAAGATATATAACGGCTAACAGCCCTCTGACGCACTCCAGGTTTGTCGGCCTCCATTTTTTGAAGCTTAGCTTCCAGATCGCTGATAGTTGCCTTGGCATTAGAAAGGTCATTCTGCACAGTAGAAAGTTGGTTGACAATGGCATTCTTCTCTTGAAGCTGAGATTTTAAGTCCTTTATCTCCTCTTCAAGATTCTTCATGTTATCAACTTTCTTGCGCAGAGATTTTAACTCAGCATCATCTTTAGCCTTTATTAACTTAATTCCGTCAAGGGCTTTCTCGGCATTATTCAATGTTGTCTCCAGAGATTGTTGGTTAGATATGTTCTGATG